AAATAAGAAGCTTAGGGGAAAATCAAGTGCTTCTGGACCCATGAAAAAGCAGCCATGTTGTCAGGTTTTGGTTTGTTTTTTAGCAGTTCCCACTGTGCAGGCTGGCGGAGTCAGCATTGGTCACCCAGAGGGCCCCATGCTCCTCCAGGGGCCATTATTGGGCATCATCCTGGTGTCAATGTAGCTTGTGGTTCAGCATCTGGGGAGAATTTGTTTATAGCAAATCATTGTCCACTCACAGATTGTTTTAAAATAGATCTGTTTATCAAATGTAAAACTCCAGATACAACAAAAGTATATTTGGGGTATCTTTTTGTCCATAATCATCCCCTATTTAAATAAACTGTAATGATGAATTAGTGATGTATCTAAAGCTAAAATAAATTGCAAATGTGAGATTTTAAAGCCTAATTCTTCTCCTTTCACCTACATTTTGTTCTCATCTTTTTTTCAAATTTATGAAAATGCTTCAAGACTCCATTTGAGTAATGAAAAGCATAGTAATTATCTCTCTCCTGAAGAGCATGGGTATTTTCTACCTGAATGTAGCAATTGGGTCTTCTCTTTCTTAGCAAAGCAGGGCTTTTCTGAGGCCTCTGATGTGGACACTCACTTCACTGTTTAAGGACCTCACAGTTTGCTTTTCAACCTTGTGGTGAAATCTGGTGCAACACCCTTATTCTATTTGCTCTCAAACGCAGCAAAACTCACCTCACCTTAGGAAGCAGGAAAGGAACAAATGTGGAGCATGCTGTGTTTTAACCTGGTGTGCCGAGAGCTCTTCCCTGGCAGGCGGGACTGAGAAATCCACTGACACGCACCCCACACCTGGACCTACTGGCCATTCTCTGTTAGCTATTTCCCGGGGAACAGCTCACCACCGGAAACCCCTGTCTGTGGCCTCACAAGCCAATCAGAGCCAGCTATGGACAGCAGTGGGATGGAGGAACTCTAGAAAAAAAATAGCTTAGGCTGCCATAAGTCAGCTCAGTGATTTGTTGGTAATCATGGGCTCTCGGAGAGAAAGGAATCAGTGTCCTGGAGGGTTGCCTGGGAGATGGTCTAGGCAAAGGACCTTCTCTTTCCATTAAATGGCTTAAGGACTTTTTAAACTGAAATTTGATTCCATATTTCATAATTATATGGAATATTCTCATGGGTAGATATAAAAATCGCCAGCATATCTCTCCAAATAAAAACCAAAGCAGAAACATTTATGTTTCCAGGATATGAGCAAAGTGCTACACTTAGCATAGTGCAATGGCACCTAGGAGGTACTCAGTAGATATTGTCAAATAAATGGTGCTGGAAGAAACAGTGAGTTCCCACCAGTTCGCACTTGGCAACAGCAGAAGTCTAAGTTAAAGAAGACTGTGAGTTCCTTCAAATGGAAATACTTCTGGCAGGGACCAGTGAACTACATCTTCTAGAAACTTATGTGAAAAGCTGTGTGGTATCACAATATTAGCTACATTCCGACCCACTGTTCTTCCATGCTTGCAGCTCTGGTGCAGTCGATAAAAGGTACATCTAGGGAAGTTAGCATGCCATTTGGCCCACATTTGGTAACTAAATATGAAAATTGGAGTGAATCTAAATACTGGAAGGAACCCAAACTGTGGGTGACCTGCTGGGTTGGATAGTATTGGAATCATTTGGCTGATGATGCTAATCAGTCACCATTTGGTTTTGAAATGGAAGCCCAGTAATCAAATAAGTTTAGTAAAATTCCTTGTGTTTACAGAGGTCTAGTCAAAATTACTCTACATTTTCCTATTTAAGCATCCTGGTGGAAGTCACATTTTGCCTTTCTAATTAAATATTTGCTTACATGTGTGTGATGCAGCGTCACTGAATGAAGCAAAAAGCACACTTCTAATTTTTATGGGAATTTCAGTTCAGGTTTTCCTTAATCTCAAGGCCCTGAGTTATCAGAAAAACATATTTGTGTTATGATGTATCTATTACCTGTATGAGCTGGATTGTCAGACTCTGAAAATCTTACTACGTGTGTATAACAAGAATGAGCCCACAGAATGTGAACAGCACTGGATTAGAAGCAGAGTTCTGGTTAAACCACTTATCAGTATTTTCACGTTAGGAATATTACTTAACAATCCTTGGTTTCCTCACCTGCAAAATGAGGAGAATATACCTGCTGCCCACCTTACAGGGTTTTTGAGAGAAGAAATCATATATCTTACGATGGCAAATCTATTCAGAGCATAAAAGTGCAAACTTGGAGTTGTGAGGGTTGCTCAGTTTGCACATGACATTCACTCACTCTGTGATCTTTGGCCAGTAACTTGACCTTAGTTTCCTCATCTGTCAGATGGGGGTAATGATACAATAGTACTTAGCTCACACACTTGTTGAGAGGATTAAATAAGATACTATATAAAGTACTAAGAATCTATGATAGTGGATAATATTGATGAGCACTTACTGTGTTCCAGATACCTCCTAACATACATGATTATGTGAGGTAAAGGCCCAGTTAGTGTGTTTTTTCCATTCCCAGCCTTTGTTCCTGTGTGGCCTTGCTTCTATAAGCCAGAGCCTTATCATGTGAGAGTTCTTATCAATAATTCTTTCTGAGGGATAAGGAAGAGGCAAATTACAGGACCTACTGCTCCCAAGAGGAACGCTTCCAGGGTAAGGAACTAACCATGGAAGGAGATCTCTAGCCCGGAGGCTGGATTTGGTGAGCCACAGAGGAAGCCGACCTATGATTTGCATTCTGGATGCATTTCTTTTAGACTTTGTCACCAGGGTCCTGGGCTCTATCTGTTATTTGATTATTATAATTACTTTTTATAAGCCTTGTTGCTATTATTAACAGCTAGCATACAGTGACTTCTTACATAGGACATAGTTCATTGACTTACTTATCACAACAATCCTATGAAGAAGATTGCATTATTATCCTTATTTCATACATGAGTAAAGAGAAGATAAATCAGAGGATGAAATAATCACCTGGGCTAGCAAGTGGTACTGCTAAGACTCAGACTGTCTGGCTCTGACCCCCTATTTCTAGCTACTATATTACCCTTTGATTTATTTAATGATTCATAATGAGTTAAAGTTCAATAAGGCATTTGAATTAAAAATCCATGTGCTATACTTTCTTGTACCCACCTTACCACCCAAAGCAATGAGAAGCAGACAATAGACCATCAGTAAATGTCACTTGAATATTTGTTTGCCTTCACCAAGATCTGATAGAAGTCTTCTCTTTTAATTCTGATAATTTAGCACACTAGGATTTTTAAACAATAGAAACATCTTTAGATCTGTTTCATTTACAGGAAGCTATGCTAATCTGCATTTTTGTTTAAAGCTGTTGGTTCTTCCTTTGCTCTAGAATCTAGATGAGTTCTCGTCTTCCTGAACCGCAAGGCCTCAGAGTGTGTGAGGAGGGAAGGAAAGCCTGAGCTGGGTGCAGGGAGCACCACTATTGGTCAGCCTCGGCCCAGGAGGCCTCACTCCTGCCCTGTCCCTGCCCTGGCCAGGGGAACTGCCCCCTCTCCGTTCCCTGCCCTGAAGGCCCCCTTCCTCAGGGCAAGAGAGCAGTGCCGGGCAGTGTGGAGCAGTTCTGCTCAACTTATCCTCAAGTCTATTTTGAAAACCAAAATAAACAGTTTGGGTTGATAGTCAATGTGCCAGAACACAAACAAAAAAGTCCCATTTTGTAAAACAGAGTGAACTCTAACCTTCTGAGAATTTTTGGTTCTCTTATATGAAATGTCTTTTGTTGTTTTAAGATACATTCTCATGTGATTTTGTTCATGTTAAACAAGGATTTCCTGAAGCTCAATATAATTTATTATAATTAATACTCTAAACTGAAAAGATGATGTTTAATGTAGAATTGTAGCTAGAGCTTTAAAAACATTGATGAACAAAAACTATAGGATTTGCTATATAAACAAGCTCTTTTAATGCATCATGTTAATGATATAGCTATAAATGCAAATTAGATAAAAAGCTTTGATTGGATTTGCTCCATTTGTTCTGCCGATGCAGCTTTACTTACACATGATGAGAACACTTTAGTCAGAAAGCACATCGGACAGACAGGACCATGCCAGTAACCTGCTCCAGTGAAATAGCAAACAAATATCAGCCCAGCCACTTGCCTTATGGGCAAAACAATAAACAAATACTGAAAATTTCTTCTATTTACCATTGAAAATTTAACAAGAAATGATATCCTTTGTATTGTACTTCCAAAAGGAAACAACCTTTTTTTAAAAACCCACGTAAGCCATTGTAATTGTATTGTAATGAACAGTGAGCTCTTTAGCATGTTCCAGAAATAGCAGTAGACTGATTCCAGCAGTCAAGGTATTTCAACCTTGGGTAATCAATCAGAGTGCAAAGGAGTGAATTAGAGGTAACCCAGTACTCCCAACACCACTGATTTAGCATTTATCACAGCAAGTAATACACATGCTGATTGCCTGCCCTCTGGAGGGAGTCTACAATCAACTGCTCTTTAGCCAGGCCTGATTTCCAGCTTAACACCCATTTAAACTGTTGAGGCAATGTAACATTTGCTTTAGAACACTGAAATGGGAAGGTAAATACACTAAATTCAGGAACCAAATATAAATTCTTTTTGGATTATACACAGTTATGGATTAACAGTATATCCATATGGCTAATCCCCTCCATTAGTGTGGATAATCCAGAACTGAATACAGCTATTAACATGTTGAAAGTGGCGGTGGTTATTACATGACATTAGTTTCACTAATAACACCAAAGATGTTTCTCTTTGCCAACAATCTTCCCTTTAAGGCCTGTTGTTATACATGTAATTTTGTTTACTTTTTGGGTTTCCTAATTTTAAAAGCATGGATTTAGACCTGATTATTCATGTTTGGGAAAAGAGGTCCCTAATGATTCTGGCTTGAAGGGTAGCTAAATAGAAATTTACTCTATGTCACATTCCCAAAGATGATCTTTTCTGGCTTGGCCCCTCTCTCCTGCAGCAGCCATCCACCATGAGCTATGCAAGACTCATCATCAAGAAAGAAGGCTGGGGGCTCCAGGGCCTCAACAAAGGATTTACAGCAACATTGGGACGTCACGGAGTTTTCAACATGGTTTATTTTGGCTTCTACTTTAATGTCAAAAGCATTATTCCTGTCAATAAGGTAACTACTTTATCTATTAAAATCCTGGAGGGAGAATCTTATCAATGATGATAGCTACATTTGTGGAGTGTTTATCATGTCCCGGTCACTGTGCTGAACACTTACATCAGCCATGTAATTGGATCCTCACATCAACCTTATTTGTTTAGTGTTGTTATCCTGCTCTGAATTTGGAAATATCAAGACACGTGCCCAGGATCACATAGTAAATAGCAAAGCAGAGACTGGAACTCAAGTCTGACACCAATCACATTATATCTGAATGTGCCATTGCACATGAATGCTTCACATTTATCACTAATGGGGGTTTCTGGAAACTATGTTATTACTTAATTTTTATCTTAAAAGCATAACTATTTTTCAGAAAGTTTAAGTATTTGCGTTGCAAATAAATTCTGAGCTCATGAGTAAAACTGTCAGCTTAAAATTGAAATATTACCTAGATCTTAATTGTTAAATTTGCGTAAATTAATTAAGACAAGTAGTAAACAAATTCTAGGATCATTTGTTTTTGAAGCAAAATAATAATAACCATTATTATCTTTCAAATGGTAACTTACAGATGCCAGCAGCCTTTAAACTTCTAGAAGATAAAAGTAGTACAGTATATGCTTTAAAATGGGCATCTGTGAGCTTTTGTGAGGAATTTTCCCACCATTGGATCACTTTCTGGCAAAGAAAATTGCAACCCTGGAGGCAGCAGTTGGGGCAACATTTTTCACATGTAGGTGGTTTCCAGGAGGGTTCAGTTTTTCATTTAGCTCAGTACAGAAGCATTGAAGGACTTTTTATAAATAATAAAAATATTTCTAATGTGAAGTTATTTATACCTATATTTGCCAGCTACTCCCCATTTTTTAGGCCAAGATTTATCGCAAGTATGAGGACAGCTGAATCCAAGGCATGTTCCACCGTTAACCATCTGTGGCATTGCCTCACTCACTAGCCAAAGTTGTTAACGTGGTTTCACTGTATTTGTAAATCTCATTTATTGAGTGGAAGCTCGTTTTGTTCATCTGAAATCTATGATTGGCCACATAGGTAAATCCTCCCACTGACTGACAATTCTGACTCTGATGGAGCTCTTCTTCTCCTGTTGAGTCCATGAAATATAGAAATAGAGCACAATGAACACTTGGGGCCTGGGTGACATGAAAGACTTTGGCTCTTAATATATTAAAATTATTTTTAGCCAGAATGGGTTAAATAACATGAGGCTGAGGGCAAAATGAAAATGCAAGGCCCCTTGTTCAACAATTAAAGAGTTCAAGACAGCAATGGTAGAGCAACAAATCAAACATAAGGCCCTTCTAAGAGTAGGCTCTGGTGACTGCTCGAGTCACACACGCATGAAACTGACCCTGTCTTTTAGACTCTCAGATGAGTAATCCATACAGCATAGGTCAAATGTCTAGGCCTCCCTTTCTCCAGTTATCCAAAAGCTTGAGACAGATGGAAATTATACACAATGAAATAAATTATATAAATTGTTTACATATATTATGTAAGTATCATACAGGGTGGGGCAAAAGTAGGTTTATAGTTGTTTCATATGGAAATAATACAATACAATCTATATAATAAAGAGCCACGGTCGTAACCACCATTATAAATGAAGGCTCGACCAAAAGAGAAGTCAGTGCTGTGTTGCGCTGGTGACCCAGCACTGACTGCCTAGGGGACTGCAGATCAGGCTGAGGGAGAGGTAGGGTGTGATCCATAGCCTCTGTGGCAGCCATTGATCAGAACTTGCCTCTCTTTCTCACAGCTGGGCCTCCATTTCTCTCCAGGCCTCCCCTGGGGCTGCTGATCAGCCCTACTTTTCTGATCAGGTTCTGTTGATAGGCCCAGAAATGCTGACTGGCATAGAAACTGACTAATCAGAACCAAATCTGTGACAACTGTGAGAAGGCAATGGCTACTTAGGAGACAGAGCTTTTGATGCTGATTGGCATAGAAATTGACCAATCAAAACCAAATTGGCTGGCAGAGGAGGACAGTTAGGGATATCAGGCTGGCAGGGGAGGGCAGTTAGTGGTGATCAGGCAGACAGAGGCAGTTAGGGGCAATCAGGCTGGCAGGGGAGAACAGTTAGGGGTGATCAGGCAGGCAGGCAGAGGCAGTTAGGGGTGATCAGGCAAGTAAGCAGAGAGATTAGTGGTGATAAGACAGGCAGGCAGTGGGCTTAGGGGTAATCAAGCAGGCAGGCAGGTGAGTGGTTAGGAGCCAGCAGTCCCAGATTGTAAGAGGGGTGTCCAACTGCCCTAAACCAGTGGTCAGACATCCCCGGAGGAGTTCCCAATTAGAGTGGGTGTAGGCTGGACTGAGAGAAACCTCCCTCCATGCACGAATTTTGTGCACTGGGCCTCTATTAAAATAACAACATAAGAATGAACTGTGTTTCACATACTCACAACTGTAAATCTACTTCTGCCCCACCCTATATATTTCTTTTTTTTTAATTTCTTTATTGATATGGTATCACATTCCACCGTATATATTTCATTACATATACTACTAGAGGCCTGATGCACAAAGATCCGTGCAAGAATAGGCCTTCCTTCCACTGGCTGTCGGCACTGCCTTTGCTCTAGCCCAGAGCAGCCTTTCTGTCTTCCCATGCTGTCCAGAGGCACGGAGGGGCTGGGGCAGTATGAAAAGCCTGCATTGTCTCCATGGCAATGATGCAAGCGTCCTGCCCCCTGGCCGCTCAGCGCCTGTGTATGCAAATTAACCTTCCATCGTTGTGTTTATTTGCATACTCACTCCTGATTGTCTGGTGGGAGTACATAGGTCAATTTGCATCTTTCTCTTTTATTAGTATAGATATTTTTGCATGTATATTAATGCATATGTTAGAATGAATTTAGTTGTATTTAAGAAAGAAATTTAGGAAGACAATAAGATTTATATGGGGACATATGTTACTAATGCTTAAAAATAGCTACACGTACAAACTTCATTCTATAATTAATAAAAGTATATTATTAAAAAAAACCAGAAGCTTAAATATTCATTTTTTAAATGGCATCATGCTATTTGAAACTATGGAAAGAGTTCATTTATCTTGCCAGTTCACTGGGATGAGATCATACTGGCCCTCATAGTCCACACTAAGCATTCTTTTCTAAGTCTGAAGAGCACTGGGAAGCCAACCAAAGTTGTAAGCAGGGAAATCACTCTGGCTGAAGCATGGAATATGAGTAGAGTAGGGGTGCTGAGGGATAGGCGGGATGTAGAATGGAAATGATTTCAATGTCAGATGCTGAGGTATTGGACAGTGTTCATGGTGGAGACAATAAATGGACATATTTGATAAATCTTCAGAAGGCAGAATCTATAGGATGTGATAATGAAGTCTATGTATATGTTGAGAGCAGACGGGGAGAGTTAGGGGGGATACCTAGGCTTTTGACTTGAATAACTGAAAGGATAATGGTGTTAGTCACTGAGAAAGAAAACCTTTGAATGAGAAAAAAGTTTATGGGAGAATATTATGGGCTTAACCTGGAAACTGAGTTTAACCACATTTGGAACTCCAAAGTGCAGGCATTGAATGCTGATTGTGGGTCCTGGAGCTTGAGAAGAGATCTTAGACACTTAGAAGCCATCAGTATACCTGGGCAAGAATACCTTTACAGGATGAATGGTCTTGGGCCAATCACTTCTCTGCTCGGAGCTTCAGTTTTTTTAATCTGCAAATTAAGAAGCTAAGATTGTTTATTCCTCCTGACAAAATTGTTTTGAGGATTAAAATAAATAGTATGCGAAGCAGCTTGTGAATTTTAAGGTGCCGTAGAAGTGTTCATTGTGGTGGTGCTGATGACAGGGATGAGGGAGGGAGCAGAGGGGGCAAACTGGTGGTGGGAACAGTTAGCTTGGGAAACTACATAAATTTTCCCCAGTACTGTTTCTTTGCACTTAAATGAACACTGTGTTTTTTCTTACCTAGAACAAAGTCATTGATTTTATGTGTTCTGTAATCTAAGCCTGATTCAAAACTGGGAAACCAGTATTCTTTAAATTTAAGCCATAATAAATCAATCCTTTGTGAAGAGGAAGGTATGATAATCATTAAAACATGTTGAAGAACGTCATCAAGTTGTTAACCGCGAGGAGGAGATGCTATTCCTTGAAGGCTTTATTCCATCTTTGCTGCACGCTTTGGGCAGCTTATTTACAGGGTTATGATTTCAGTTCCCTCGTCCAGCAATGGGTCATTTTGTTGTTCCAAGGGAATTTGAGATTTCACCAACCCTGAGCAGCTCAGGATAATTCTTGATTTTTCTTTAACTTAATGTATTTTTAAATCTATAAATTGTCTTACATGTTTACCATTTTTTAATTATTTGATTTTACAAGAAACTGTCCATAAAGGTTATCCCTAGGGAGTGGAAATTGGAAATAGTGTGTGTGTGAGTGTGAGTGTGAGTGTGTGTGTGTGTGTGTGTGTGTGTGTGTGTGTATACATGCATGCGTGGGTGTATATGGATGTATGTGGGGTGGGGGCAGGAAAAAGCAAGAGCAGTGAAGGGAAAGTAATTTCTCTTTATACCATTCTGAGCTGTGGGAAGCGTCTATAATAAGCATGTAATAAATCAGTGAAAAATTTAATAGAATCTCATAAAATAGAGTACCTAGTTAACTTTTCACATTTTACTGAACTCCAGGGCTATGTCTACAGACGTAAAACAGTAAGTAAGCCCAGATAACTCAGGTCAAATATCTACCCCTAAAGCTTTTAACTTAACTCTTCAGATTGGTGATCTCTCATAGATACATGTTTTCAAATTATCACAGAAATATCCTGACCTTCTGGATATTTCATACTATTAAGACCATTTTTGTGGTCTCCCTGATTTTGCCTGATCCTCATCACAATAACTCATTTCCCGATGAGGAAACCAAATGGAAGGTTAAGGCCCAGAGCTGAAATTACTTCGGTAATTTAGTTGAGGTCACATAGCATAGGGAGGAAAGGATCCAGAGGCCAGCACCCT